AATCTCTGTTTGCTTTGCATCCAAGCATAAAATAAGAAAGAAAGATAAGATGAACTGGGCTCCAAGAAAGTGGCAGTTTTAATAATTCAGTTCACCACAGGAGGCGACTTTGATGTCTTACTTTGAAGAACAAGTGCATCTCTCCTCTGTTGATCTTTTCATCTTCCCTCATCAACCTCGTCAAACGCCAGCCGACCTACCCCTCATCGTTCTTACTCTGCTTCTCTCCTCTGTCATCCTTCATTGTTTCTACCAACCTAAAATATTACACCTCAGTTTAAACAATGTTCTCCTTTAAATTGTGTGCGTCAGGCGCTGGCTACCAAAGTTCAGACACGACTGGGTCGATTTATAGTTTTAGTTTAACTTTATTTGGACAGTAAAAATAGTACATGAACTTAACAGGTGACTGAAGGTCTAATTTCATATGAGTCTGATCGATGAACCAGCTGATTGCAGCCTCCCTGTATTTACACACAGACACTTTCCTTCAGTGCTTTATCCGTCTCGTTTCCAGGGATACTGTACAAAGGCAGCGGTGAGAATGTCTTCATTTCCCAGCAGCCACCTGTCATCAACAGCATCATGGGTAAGTGTAGAAGAAAAGCTTCCCAGTTTGTTTGAGCATGCACACACACAATCAGTGCTGGTCACTGCATATTTCCTTTAAAGGTGGCCTGTACTTTACTTGTTGTCTGTTACATACATTTGTGGTCAGAGGTTTGCATAACTCATCCTGGTTTCATGGTCATTTCTTTTGATTTAAGTCTTTGATTTTGTTTATCTTGATGGATTGTACAGCACTTCTCCACAGAACAAAGCTGGAACATACGTACACAATCACCTCCCTCAGCACGTTGCACTTTGACCTGACAGCGTTAGTACTCAGCTGATGGCAGTGTTACACCTGGATGTTTGACTCTTGACTGGTTGATCTAAACGAGTTGATTTTCTGTCACAGAGCTCTCGTTACAAACGTCAGCAGTACTGAGGTCACAGCTTTGGGTACATGAACTGCTTTATTACAAAACCTGTTTTCACGTTTGTATTTTCAGACTTCTCGTTGTTGATTTGCAGTCAAGTTGAAGGATTTAGTACTTGTCCAATATTTTGTCCACTTTTGTGTAATACACCCGTACCACTGGCAGCAAAACAGTCCTAGAGGATGATGCTGCCTCAGTTGTATGTGTAGTTGTTTAGAAATGACTTCACAATGCTGCCAGTGTATGATTCTCATCCTTAACTTTAACTT